CCAAATATCTTCAGGAAATTATTGCATGCCTGCACATTTGAAGTTTCTTTCTATGACCATAATGGCAATATCTATACCAAAACAAATATGGGAAATCCTCGTGGCTAGTGTTTCTCCAACAGCATGTCCCACATAGAAAATGCAATATTTAAACAAGTCACTAAACCCAAAATATATGCTTGCTATGTAGATGATATTTTTATTTTAGTGAGAAACAAGAAAGAAATTGATAATCTCAAATTCACATTTTAAAAAAACTCTGTCCTTAACTTTACCTATAAACTGAGTCAAAAAATAAACTCCTATTCTTAGATATTCTCATAGAATTCAGTAATAACACTTTTCCCACTTCATTATATAAAAAACCCAAAGGCAGAAACTCTTGCCACCCTTAATTTTAAGAGTGAATGCCCATTTAGATATAAAATAGCAGTTATAAATAATTTCCTAAAGAGAGCACACAAGAATTCATTCTCAGTTTTCCTTAAAAAAACTCAATAATATAAAACAGACACTAATTAACAATGGTTTCCTAACTACCTCATCAACCACTAGATTAGACTATTTCTTTCAAAAATAACTAATAACAATACTGAACATACAGATAAAAACAATAATATTAACATCTTCTACAAAAGCCAAATGTCAACTATAAGCAAGATGAATTTTCTCTTAGAAACATCATACTGCGCAACTCCAGTCAACCCGAACAAGAATTAATTATTACAAAATTTTTAAAAAAGCTAAACTTATCATCAGAAATAACAACACACCAGCAAAATCAAAACTACACAGAACCAACATTACTTACAAGTTCAAATGCGCCTAAATAAACTGTGTTCCTGATCAAATCAAACTCATAAATAATTACATCAGTCACACTACATGTCTATCTAGATGACTTATGTTACACCTACCCAACCATAACTCCATTAGGACTCATTAATTAAACACGCACAAAAACATACCAAACTCCATCTGAAATATACTAGTAGAAAATACAAGTATAATAGCCTCATCCACATGTAAACAAAAAAATAAAAAATAATGGAAGCCCTTACAATAAAAAAGGAAAAGCCAATGCTCAATAATATTAACTATGAACACGGCCACAATTTGCTGACTGTGTTTGGAAAATAAAACATTCCTGTAACTTTAGACACATGCATAAAACCCCACATTTTTAGTTAAAAAAAAAAAAGAAAAAAGTCGCCCTTGATAATGGCTAAGAGAATAGCGGAAAGTACTTGGATATGTAGAACTTTTGGACAGTTTTTACACTCTTTCTTGCTCTCTTTTTATCACTCACTCTTTCTTTATATATATATATATATATATATATATATATAGAGAGAAAAAATAAATAGAATGAAAGAAGAAACAGTGTGAACAAAGATATCAACACTGCATAATGACTGGCAGTGTTGAGCTTCAAGCAATCATCAGACCATGATATGATATGTGCAAACCCTCTACTTCAATATTGAGAATTCTTCCCCAGTAAATAACAACACACCCAACTATATATATATATATATATATATATATATATATATATATATAAAGACATGTCTCATTAAATAATTTAGACAAGTTTTGTCTACTTATTCTTAATAGGATCCTCTCATATTTACAGACAAGTCTCTTAGTATCTTTAAAGGAAGAAAGAAAGTTACCACATTGATGCATATTCATTTTATTCTGAGTACTTTTAGCATTAGCACAATGTCATCATTAGGGCCTTGTTTTTTCTAACACAAAATTGTGTCACAAACTTTATCCAGCGTCATTTCCATTGATGTAAGTATTCCTGAAACACCTTCTTTGGGACAGCAAGCAGTTGCCTCATTGCATTCTCTTGGATTTCTTTTGTGTCTTGAAATCTTGTTCCTTTCAAGTGGGATTTGAATTTTTGAAGATGAAAATGTTGCAAGGGGGGAGATCTGGGGAATATGGTTGTTGGACCTCGAGAATGTGCTTGGTCAAAAACTGTTGCAAAATGCATAGTCACTGATAGAATCTCTGTGGTTTGATGAGACAACCACAATCTACACACTTTTCTTCCAGCCACTGCCATAAAGAATGGAAGTGAGCAAGAACATTATAATTATATAGTGTGCATGCATGACAGAGGTCAAGGTTATTCTGTACTAAGCAGATTCACTTTGTTTACCTTACCTCCATTACCACAGCAACAGATCTGATATTTTTTGATCAGATTTCATATATATATATATATATAAATAAAAAGAAAGAACAGTAAGATATATAATCCGGTGTTCTTATAGATATTTTTATTTTTACAAAATAGTGCTCAATGTAAATTTACAGAGCATTAATATTATAAATTAATTGATTTAAAATATGGCTTTTCCCGCTACACAGTTCTAACCATGCTTAAAAAAAAAAAATTAGCTTGAGGATGAAATGGAACTAATGCTTTTAATTTAATTGCAAAATTAAATTTGGGGCTTTTAGCTTCTATTTTTGAAACATGGTTAGAACTGTGTATGGAAAAAAAATATTTTAAATCAATTAATTTTATATATATATATATATATATATATATATATATATACATGTAAGTGAATGTAATGGATTCAACTGGAATTCAAACTTGGCTCTCTGATTCCTCAATCTGAGCTGCTATCGATTACTCCACTGTGCGTCCTTATTTTGTGTGTGTATATATATATATATATATATATATATATAAAAACATGATGGCTATATATATATATATATATATATAAACATGATGGGCTATATATATATATATATATACATTATATATATATATATATATATATATATATAAAAACATGATGGCTAAGATATTCTTTGTATATGTTTATTTAGTTGACATGTATAGGTGTAGCAAAAGATATTGGAAGTTAGAATTTTCAGTCACTGCTGTAGTCTTCTTCAGTGTTTGTTATTGAATAGATTTTTTGAACTGGGTTCAAATCCAGTTTCATTTATATTTTAATTGAAATTATAAAAATAACTTTTTAAAATAATAAAAATTCCTGAGGGAATATACAGTCATCCTGGTGTCAAGAGAAAAACTGTTCTCTTGAAACAAGATTTTTTTCAGTTATATTTGTTAAAATTTACCAAAAAAAATTACTTACACTAAAGTGGTAAATCATAAAATT